TCCCTATTACTGTACACACAAAACAACGGACTCTGTTTTGGGAACTTATAAGGCCCTGAACGTCTTGTGTAAAGTCGCACTTTAGCAACTGTAAATGTGAACACTAATGATGAAGGAAAGAAGTACCACAGCACGTCACAATGAAAACATTTAGAAAGCGGAGCTGTCAGCGTGCATTCTTTCTGAGTCATGGTTGATTCGTTAACGTCAAAGTTCACTTTTTCGAGTCGCCACTTAGGTAAAACTCGCATAATAAACCAAATGAGTAATTAGTTCAAATACGTAATTCTATCGTTCAGGCACTGCTGCACACTTTTAGAAGTTGTTGCCTTATCATTCAAAGGTGCGAGGCAAAACAGACCATTGATCCAGTTCCAGTTATCCACGTTTCAAGAGATCCAACGTCGACCTATCTTACGCATGAGCAATTCTATTAAAACGACAGAAAAATCCTGCAAATGCAGAGGTAAACTGTGCAAAAATGGCCGGCCCCAAAAATTCGCCTTCTGAAAATCTTTCAGACGGGAATCTAAATCAAGCATGAACTCATCAGAAGGTTCAAAAGTTGCTGGAGAGCATCGAGATGCAACGACGATTCGCGATTCTTGCCATATTTCCGCTTCATTTGAAATGTGCGAAGAAACATGCAATCATCTGGCAACGATCCGCCAAACATTCATCAATATGAATCTCGCTTTGAGTGGCTTTTGAAATAAGATAAAGAAATCTGCGTCACTAAATAAGCTCTCATAATATTCATTTGACCAGATCAGGGTAGTACGTCGCTGTGTCTGTTCGCAGTCATAAAACATGCGCCTGATGTATTTCAGCTTAATGACAAATACTGTGCCATACAAAGACGAATACGTCAAATCCTTTTCTTTTATGCACGTGACCTTGCTCCTAAAATTTTCAAGGAAAGTTGAAAATGCGTTAATTTCATACCTTGGCAATATTTTGACGTAGTTTCAGGAGAAGGTTTGTTTGCGATAAAACAAAGTTAACTGTTGATAAAACATGGGGGCGAAGCTTACCTTATTCGCCAGAGGTACCTTGGGTAAACATACACCGTGCATGATTCATTTTGATATATCCTTATATTCTGTCCTGATTTCTGCAAATCTGTCAATCTGGACGTCTCTCAACCTTGGCAAACTTTGCGTGACCCTTAAATTAGCAGGTAATGACTGCATTACATATCGAAATACCGGTCAATCGGTCAAACAGTTCGTACAATTCAATCTGAGAGTTTACCTATGAATGGGCATTGGTATGCATCCAACAGCAACTGTCCATGTCATATTGCCCTGTCGCTTTGAATAACCGTACGTCTTGGCAGAATATAAAAATCTGTGAACATATACTGCTGTATATATGGTCATGGCAGACCGCAGTAATTCCTGTCTTAGCTCGTATCACGTCTGACCCATGGTTGCTTGCTGATAAATGAGGCATACAATGGCTAAATCTGTGAACTGCTTAATACGCATTCTGTGTTCGGTTTCGCGGCGCTGAACAACATAGATTTGTTCAGTATATTCAAAAATAAAACCATTCAGAGGCAGGGGCTGTTCAATAAGTAGTGCATCGGAATCGGAACCGATCAGGTTCTTCGTCTTTCCTCCTTCTGAGTTTGATAAATGAGTGCCACTCAGTGAGAACTAAACAGGTGGCTAAACATTATATTCGCCACAAAGCTGGGGTCGACTCGGTCATTAAAATAAGACAGTCCTGTCTGCATGGATGGATAGCATGGAAATGGAGATCAGCTCCCGTCATTAACTTCATGAAAAGAAGGGAGCCAGAATGGCAACATCCCGAAAGTGCATGGAAGACTGATCTTCCAACGGTTACAAACTTTCCTTCCAATATTCATAAGGAATTACCGGCATGCAGCAGGCATCAAGGACAACGGGAGCCAGATTCTGAATAGAAATAAACAGTTTGACTAAGGCTGTCTATTACTGATATTAGCGTGTAATGATGGACAACTCTGAAGCAAAAAATGTGCTTTTAAACGGAGCCTGCATATATGTGAATTAGATGCGTCTTTAGTTTTACTTCAAAATATATTTTAAACGAGCCTTGGAATTCTCATTGATTCGGTGTCCGTTTAAAAACACCGTAGGTCATATGGATCGATTGTCTGAGATATGCTTAGATGATACCAATAATGTGTTCTTCGTTACTTGTGTGAAGGTGATGATAACAAACCATTTTTGTCCAGACGAATTAGGCTATTATGGGCAATTCTGCAGGATATTTCGCAGCCAATTAAGTTCACAGCTGCATGACGTTCTTCGAGCTTCATATCTGATTTTGCCGTTCTAGCAACGAATGGTTCACGAGACCTGATCATCTGTTCAACAGGTAGATGATACGATGAAGATTATTGAAGATTATTATGAAGATGAATTTTACCCTGTTTCAGTTCAACATCTAGTACTGACGGGTCCATCCAATCTATTTAAGAAAGTGTACAACCTAAGCGTATTTCAGAACATTTATTCGACGCATTTTAAGTCTGTAAACTTCTGACGTAATT